CTCCGCACCCCACAAGGAAAACTAGCCAGCAAGAAGTCCTGGGTACAAGGGGCAACTGGTATGAGCCAGTATTCATGGACTACCCGAAGAATGGTAGATTTGGGGACGGGTCAGGTATCCCACTCCTTTATGGTAATACCAGAATGCCCCTACCCGCTGTTAGGACGGGACTTACTGACCAAGATTGGAGCTCAGATAACTTTCAGACAAGGGGGGCCTCAGGTCACTGATGGCAAGGGCCACCCCATCCAGGTCCTGACCATGAAACTAGAGGATGAATACAGCTTCCACCAGGAGGCGCTCCCAAGAGAGGATAATATAGACAGATGGCTACAAGAATTCCCCTCAGTTTGGGAAGAGATTGGGGGGTGGGGTGGGGGCATAGGACTAGCCACCCACAGGACCCTGGTCCTGGTAGAGCTCAAGCCAGGAGAAGGTCCCGTAAGGATCAAACAATACCCCATGTCTCAGGAGGCCCAGAAGGGGACCCAGCCACACATCCAGAGACTACGAAACCTAAGGGTACTAGTTCCTTGTCAGTCTGCCTGGGACATCCCCCTACTGCCGGTCAAAAAGCCTCACACAAATGACTATCAACTGGTACAAGACCTCTGGGAAGTAAATAAGAGGGTCACGGACATACACCCAACTGTTCCCAACCCACGTACTCTCTTGAGCTCCTTGGCACCCTCCAGGGTCTGGTATACTGTATTAGATTTAAAGGACGCCTTCTTCAGTCTGCCGCTGGCACCCCAAAGCCAACCCTCGTTCGCCTTCAAGTGGCATGATCCAGAGGAGGGCTACAGCGGGCAACTCACCTGGACATGGCTGCCTCAGGGGTTCAAAAATTCTCCCACCATCTTCGACGAGGCACTACACGAGGACCTGGGTGAGTACAGAAAGGAGCACCCTGGCCTCACCCTCCTACAGTACGTAGGTGACATCCTGGTTGCTGCCGACACGGCCGAGGACTGTGAGCAAGGGACCCAGGACCTGCTGGCTACCCTGGGGGCCTTAGGGTACCAGGCATCTGTGAAAAAGGCTCAGATATGCAGGGAGAGGGTAAGTTACCTGGGATACATCCTGGAGGGCGGACAGCGGCGGTTATCAGATGCCAGAAAAGAATCTGTCCTGAAGATCCCTACTCCCACCTCCCGAAGGGAAGTAAGGGAATTCCTAGGATCGGCCAGCTACTGCCGCCTCTGGATCCCGGGTTTTGCTGAGATCGCCAGGCCCCTATATGAAGCTACCAAAGAGGGAAAAACATTTGAATCGACTGAAAAAGAGGAAACTGCCTTTAATCAGTTGAAAAAGGCCCTCCTAGGTGCCCCAGCCCTGGGCCTGCCAGACATTATGAAGCCCTTCCACCTCTTTGTAGACGAACACAAGGGAATAGCAAAAGGGGTTCTAACTCAAGCCTTAGGCCCCTGGAACCGCCCAGTGGCTTACCTGTCCAAGAAGCTAGACCCAGTGGCTGCCAGCTGGCTGCCATGCCTAAGAATTATTGCGGCGACAGCACTCCTTGTCAAGGACGCAGACAAACTGACCCTAGGACAGGAGATCTGGATCATGACCCCACACGCCATTGAAGGGGTCCTGAAACAGCCTCCTGATAGATGGATGAGCAACACACGTATGACTCATTACCAGAGCCTCTTACTCAACCATCCCTGGGTGCGGTTCCACCCCAGTGCGGCCCTCAATCCTGCAACTCTGCTGCCCGACCCTGACCTAGATGCTCCACTACATGATTGTGCAGGGATCCTGGAGCAAGTACATGGATTCTGGACGGACATGACCGACTGGGCCCCTCCCTGATGCCGAGGCTACTTGGTTCACTGATGGCAGCATCTTTGTGCGGGACGGACACAGGTAAGTGGGTGCAGCGGTGGTCACCGAAACGGACACCGTATGGGCGGAGGCTCTTCTCTCCGGAACGTCAGCCCAGCAAGCAGAGCTCGTCGCCCTCACCAAGGTGCTGACACTAGGAGCTGGAAAACGGCTTAACATCTACACACACAGCCGTTATGTGTTTGCCACAGCTCATATTCATGGGGCAATTTATCAGGAGAGGGGGTTACTAACGGCTGAAGGACGGACTATAAAAAATAAGCAGGAGATACTTGACCTGCTTACAGCCTTATGGCTTCCTGCCAAGCTGGCCATTATCCACTGCCAAGGGCACCAGAATACCGATAACCCGGTAGCTAGAGGTAATCGAAAGGCTGAGCAGGCAGCCAAGGCAGTAGGCCTTACTTCAGTTCCCACCATGACCATACAACT